ATCATTAGACATTTTCCCACAGAAACACTTACATTCCTACTAGACTTATATACTATGACACATGGTGGTCGCACTCCTTTCCGGAGTCTTGGCGTCTCGCCACTGTCATTCCAATATTCAAACCTAACAAAGACCACACACACCCATCCAATTACAGAACAATAGCACTAACAAGCTGTCTATGCAAACTTATTTAAAAAAATGATTCACAAGTGACTCATGTGGTTCCTGGAGAGGATGGGCTTGCTAAGCGGTCTCCAGTGCGGATTCAGGAAAACACGATCCACTCTTGATCACCTGGTCTGTCTGGAGACCTTTATACGCGAGACGTTTGCCAAAGAAGGCCACATGATCGACATTTTTTTAACCTAGAAAAAGCCTTCAATACAACCTAGAAATACGGCATTCTCAGAGACCTGCACATTCTCGGCATACGCGGTCACCTCCTTGCCTTCATTGGCAATTTCCTTAAGAACTGTTCCTTCCAGGTTCGTGTCAGACCCTCCCTTTCAGACCCCCACCAACAAGAGGAAGGTGTTCCCAGGGCGGCATCCTTTCTCCTCTCCTATTCAAAATTAAAATTAATTCCAATGTTAAGACCCTCCAAAATAGCATAGACAGCTCGTTATACGTTGATGACTTCCTGATATGCTGCCGTTTGAAGAGTTCTCAACTAAGATCTATGGAAAGGCAGCTGCACAAACTTGAAAAGCGGGCAAATAATAACGGTTTAAAGTTTTCCCCATCAAAAGCGGTTGCATTGCACTTCTGCCGATTCTGCCGATCAGGCAGATGTGTACTGCAGCCAGATTTGACACTATATGGGGAAAGGATTCCTTTCCAGGACCAGACTCATTTCCTCAGCTTTTTATTTGACTAGAAACTCACATTTATTCCACACGTAAAAGACCTTCGTGGGAGGTGCCAGAAAGCGTTAAACGCTTTGAAAATTCTATGGCATCCAAAGTGGGGCGGGGACCCAAAGCACCTTCTCCACTTGTACATCTCCCTTGTCCGATCCAGGCTTGACTACGGCTGGCAAGTCTACAGATCGGCAAAACCACACATCCTAAAAATGCTAGATCCAGCGCAAAACCAAGGACTCCGCCTCGCTCTAGGGGCTTTCAGCACTTCTGCGGTGGAGAGCCTCCAGGCAGAGGTATACGTACATCACTCACACTCAGACGCACAGAACTCTTACTACAATAATCAATTAAATAGAACTCAACACCAGAGAACCCAGCACACGACTGCATTTTTAAAACCAGCTCAGACACCATAAACAAGTTCTAAAACAACGAAAAACTCATCAAACCCTTCGGCCTCAGAGTCCCTGAGGACCTAAAAAACATACAGTTTTCCAAACAAAACATCCAACAATTTCTTTTCTCCAACCTCCCTCCGTGGCACCTCATCAAGGCAAAAGAAGACTTACAACTGACCACACACGACAAAGCAAGCACAAATACCAAAACATTTAAGGCAGAATACAAAAAATTATAAAAAAATACCCCGGTGCGGAGCTTATCTTCACAGATGACTCCAAACAAGACTCTGGTGTGGGCGCTGCAGCCCTATCTTCAAACAGTACACATCAGAGGAGACTCCATCTCAAAGCCTCCATTTTCTCTGCGGAGGCCACTGCCATTGACATGGCACTGGGCTCTGTAGAAAATTCTCCTTTCAAATCTTTCCTTCTCCTTTCTGACTCTCTGTCTTGCATCACCTCACTTACAAACTACACGCTCCTACACCCGAAAATATTTGGGCTACAACAAAAAATACACGCCTTGACTGAAACTGAGAAAAGTATCGTGTTCGCATGGATACCTAGCCATGTGGGCATCCGAGGAAACGAGCAGGTAGATCACCTGGCGAAGAAATCCTTATCCCTTCTGTTGGGATCAACGGCGAACACTCTCCCACAGACTGGCTTTAAAAATAAAGTAAAAAAGTACACCTCCAGTCTGTGAGAGAGCCTTTGGAAAAAACAAACAATTAACAAACTTCACAACATTTAACCCAAACTGGGACCGCGAAATCCTTCGGGCCTCTCCAGAAGAGACGAAGTCATTTTTACTCGATTTTGCATCGGACACACGGCCCTAACACACAAATACCTCCTTCAGGGAGATGAGAAGCCGTTCTGTGTCGGATGCGACACAGATTTTACCATTAGACACATTTTAACCGAATGTCTAGACTTGGGAGAGACCCGAAGGAAATACTTTAAATACTAAAAATTGCAAAATATTTTTTTCCGTCGTTGTTCCCAACAGAATTTTAGATTTTATGAAGGCCATTGGCCTTTATGCGAAATTATAAGGTGAAATAAAATTGTTGAAATATAACCTTAAGTTGTTTTAGGTTGAAAATATATTTACACTAAATTTTAATATTTTAACATTTTAAAATCTTTTAACTATTGACCCGAGCCCAGCCATACAGTGAACTTTTGCTAATAAAACTAACTTGTGTTTCGCATGCTCATATGACCTTATGCAGTTGCAAGCACTGCAAAACCCCATACTAAAGTAAAAAAAACAACAACTAAAACCTCTCAGAAAAGTGTAGAAACCACCCACTTAGATTTTTTTTATAGTATGTTTTTATCAGTATTTATTAAGGAATTTTCTAGAATACATCTAACAAGTGTTTACAAAAATAATGATCTGTCATGACAAATGGATACAGGACATTGTGCAAAAGTTGGAAAGTCTATGTTCAATAGTTTAGGAAATATTTGACAATAAGTCATGCCATGAATTTTTGGATGCACTATAGGACATAAAACTCCATATGATGCTAAATGTTCCACAGAAATAAAATGAATTTCGATGGCTTAAGATAGTTTCAATAAGATGAGCCCAATCCTGAGAAATAAAAACATCTCAATGACTACTAAAATTAAAGTTTTCAAATGCTATGAATGGTCAACCTTTATTCTTTACAGCTGTGAATGCTGGACAATCTCAAGACAGTGAAAATAAAATAAAAGCAACAGAAATGTGATTTCTTAGGAGTCTGCTGAGAATTTCTTGGACTGGATAAGAAATCAGTTGAGGTAGTACTTAAAGAAGCCCATGTGGGGTGCTTTCTGATAAAAGCAATCAGGGAAAAAGACAAATACAGTTTCTAGGACACTAGAATAGACCTAAAGGCCTGGAACATCTAGCTCTCGTTGGCAAAGCTGAAGGCAAACGAGGCAGGTGTAGAACCAGAGCAACCTACTTGGTGAGCCTAAACACATCGGTGGCGGGGAAAGATTAGGATAATGTAGCTTTTTGAGAGCATCTGAGCAGGGGAATGAATTTGAGAACCATGATCACTGATGTCTGTTGTATATCTAGCACTTGATGATGATGATGATGATGATGATGATGATGATGATGATGATGATGATGATGATGATGATGATGATGATGATGATGAAGCCCTGAGAACGTATTATAAAATATTTTTGGAAATTTTAGCAAGTCTCAAACTTTTTTTATTTTCTGCTGTACACAATGATGATGATGATGATGATGATGATGATGATGATGATGATGATGATGAAGTGGTTTTTGTGTTCACTGACACGTTCTTGTTTTCTGTGAGACTCATCATCATCATCCAGTGCCAGATCTGCGACAGACATCGGCGATCATGGTTTTCCCTTCATTCCTTTGCTCGGATGCTCTCAAAGAATCTACGTTTCCTTGATCTTTCCCTGTTACCCATTTGTTTAGGTTCTCTAAGTATGTTGTTCTGGGCCTACCCCTGCCTCGCTTGCCCTCAATTTTGCCAGTGAGAGCTAGATGTTCAAGACCCTTATATCTATTCAAGTGTCCCAAAAACTGCATTTGTCGTTTCCTGATTGTTTTTAACATTGAGTGTCCCACGTGGGCTTCATCTAGCACTACTACATTTGATTTCTTTTCCTTCCACGATACTCTTATTTATAACAGTCTCCTAAGAAACCACATTTGTGTTGCTTCTATTTTATTTTCAGTCTTTAGTGATTGTCCAGCATTCACAGCCATAGAAGGGTTGACCAAACATAGCATTTCAGGACTTTCATTTCGGTGTTCATTGAGATGTTTCTAATTTTCAGGATTGGGCTCATTTTATTGAAACTAACCGTAGCCATTGTAGTTCTCCTTTTTATTTCTGTGGAACATTTGGCGTCAGATGTTATCATATATCCTAGATATTTAAACTGTTGGACTTGTTTGATCTTTTCACCTTTGCTAATGAGATTACAACTAGGATTTGCTGCTTTTTTGGATATTACCATGCTTTCTGTTTTCTTTACATCCAACACTAATCCTTTACGTTCACTTTCTGTTACAACAGTATCTAGAAGCAATTGAAGGTCCTTTTCGGAGCCTGCTATTAAAACTGTGTCATCTGCACACCTGATGTTGTTAATATTTTCTCCATTTACTTTGAGGCCTGGACATTCTTCTATGTTTCTAAGGATTATTTCACTGTACATGTTAAAGAGGTCTGGTGACATAACACATCCTTGCCTCACTCCTCGCCTGATCTGCTTATATTCACTGTATTCTCAATTAATTCGTACAGCAGCGTTTTGGTCCTAATACAAATTTCTGATAATTCTTAGATCTTTTCCATCTAGGTCTAGCTTTTCCAGTACTTTAAACAGCTCATCATGTCTAACTTTATCAAATGCCTTTGAATAATCTATGAAGCATAAATACAGATCTTTCTGTGCTTCAATACATCTTTCCATTAACATTGTTAAGTGTGAATACTACTGCTGTAAATAAAAACTTTTCTGTTACCTTTAGGTGGTGTTGTTGTGAAAAAGAGAGTTTTCCTCTTTCCATGATGTGATTTTGTTGTGATGATAGAATATGTTTGTGTTACCTTGAGTTGGTTTTGCTGTCTACCTTTAATTCTGCCTTTACTGCTATGAAGTGGTGTTGCAATGGACAGACATTATAATTTGTATCAGTATGCAGAGTGTAAATTGTGTGTTTTTGTTCCTGCAGGGAGCTGGCACAGTCACTGACGACATCAGGACATAACCGTAGCAGTGTTGATGTTCTTTTGGAACACTTTTATGACCTAACCTCAATATTGATTGAACCTGGAAATGTAAGTAAAATAACTGAGATATGCATCTGACTTTTGTGCTATTACATACGAAATATCAAAAATGACTTTTGTAAGTTTTCTGTAAGCTTTGAAAGTGTTACGGTCAGCTTGAAAGATGAAAAGAAACATGGGGCACAATGTTGCCCGATAGAACTGTAGGTTTTTTTTTCATTTGCAAAAGTATAGTTCCCATTGGTGGAATGTTTGTTTTAAGACATGATTAGATTTCTAGAATATAAGGTGTATATGGATGTTTAGAATATAGGGTGTAATGTTGCAAGGCAGATGAAAAGCACATGTAAATTTTTTGTGGGGAGAAGAGGGAAGATAGATGATATTATGTAAACAGTCTGTTGTTTCCACATTGTAATGTATGGATGTGTATTATATTATGTGTAAAGGCTGATTACCTTTTGAAATATTCACGGGCGAAACATCTTTTTTTCTCCCCCCACAAACAGAATGAATTTGGCGTGCATTTTGAATTTCCTATCAAACCTGAGGTGACATTTGTTGGTAAGTTTACTTACTTTACTTTACTTTTCCGATCCAGCGGCCATTTGGGTTCTAGCCCTTCGGTCTGTCGATATGGCAAAGAATTGACAGGTTTTAATCAGCTGTGCTTTGTTGCTGTATAGAGTGTTTCCGATGTCTGGGAAGGCAGGTAGGTAGGTGCTACGCAGGTCACAAAGTGCTGGGCAGTTAAAGAGGTGGTGTGGTACTGTTTCATCCTGGCAGTCGCACAACGGGCAGTCAGGCGGGGTATCCTTGCGGATCCTATTAAAGTAGGAATTTAGTGGTATGTGTTGTGTTCGCAGGCGAAATATTGTGACTTGTTCTCTTCTACTCAGGGAATTTATTGCATCTTTAGAGTTGGGGGCTGTCATGTGTGCAAATACAATTCTTCCAGTTTTGCCCATTGCCCATCCATTCAGCCACTGTTCCCTGGTGTTGCATTTGATGATGTTCTTGGCTGTCTGTTGTGATACTGGGTTGTGTGGTTGTGTTTGTGATGCTCCCTTCTTGGCAAGGGTGTCTGCTCTGTCGTTTCCTGGGATGTTGCTGTGGCCAGGTATCCACTGTAGTGTCAGGTCGACCTCATAGGTCTGTAGGAAGGTGTTGATTGTTTGAGCCACAGATAGGCAGGCTGGGCTTTCGAAATTCATGTTTTCCAGAGCTTGGAGTACTGACTTTCCGTCTGTGAAGATAATAGTGTTCTTGATTTTGTTTGGATATATTATGAAAATGTTGGTAAGTTTCAGATGACTGTTGACGTGGTGGCAGAATAAAGTTATATTAAGCTTTTTCTCTAGTAGTTCATGAAGTGTTTGGCCTGTTGACTTTTCTACCTACTATAGTGGTCATCAGTGTGATGGGAATGATAAAATGTGAGGCAGCGTGGTGAAATCAGGTGCTCATCAAAATAATGAAATGGAAGAAATTAGCCTTTTTCCGCCGCTTTGACAATTTTTATCGAAAATGTGGGTTTTTTTGGCTCAGAACCTTTTATGTCCATTTAAGTTTCCATTTCTGTGTAGTTTATACTGAAAAACGTTGATTATCTCATTTGCTATGTATTATTTTGGCCTTGTGGACGAATTTTTTTTTGGAGGACGAAATGAGATGATGACTAGTGCGCAGTTCAAAGACTTTTGAGGTCACAAATGCGAATAAATATCAATATATTATACACCAAAATTTTCAGTATGATTTGTAGAATATATTTGTATTATTTATTTGTGGATATTTCAACTTTGGTTCCTGTAAGAGGCGATTATGCAACACAATTGTAATTGGCTGCGGATAAAATTTGAAAATAAATCGCCTCTTACAGGAACCAAAGTTGAAAAATACAAAAATCATTTGGGTTTTTTCAGAATTGCATTTGGAATAAACCTAGGCTCGTCTTGAGTGGTACTTTTTGTGTAATTTCCTCATAAAGTGATTTTTGGGAGAAAAAAATATTTTGGCAATTTAGATCTAGATCTAGAAGATCGGGCACTGAAAAATATTGATTTCTCAATAACAGAGAAATGGCAATTTGAGTCTAATAGTATCAATATTTTAAAGAATGGTCCTACATTTCTTTAGTAAGCAAAATAATGATACATTTTATTGTGTGAAAGTATTAAGACTGGTGCCTGGGCTATAATTTGGGCATCGTGACAAACAAAGTCGACTAAACTTTGAATTGTGTTTCAAAACTGAATCAAAACTTCCAAATTTTGGTGGAAATGTTATATTATAACCTTTATTTTAACATGGATATATATATGTGGATTGGAATTAAAATCCAAGCTAAAATTATAGGTCAGTTCTCGAGCCGTCGGGAAGTCACTTTAGCCGCGCTGCTGCCCACGGCTCGGTGTAGCAAATGAGTTAAAGGCACAAAAAATGTAACCTGTCCGTTTCAATGGACTCTCAGTCTATATAAATAACCGAATTTTGGCGGCCATTTTCTCATTAAATTTACCTCTGAAACCAAGTGACCACCACCTCCCTCAACTTCATAATATCTCAAATTATATTCAAGATAGATAGGTATTTTTTTCACCGAAAGCAAGACAACTGGACAAGCTTTAAGATGATATCAATAACTTCAAATGTCCAAAAATTGTCGAGTGCCTGATTCCACTGCATCGTGACACAAATCATTATAATGACCTACAAGAAAGTATGCATTGCTTTGTTTTCCCAGCTGAATTTCTTTTGCTGTTGTCAGCGATGTTGGTGATCTTGAATTTGTCCTTTAGAAGATATTGATGGTGTTCAGAGTACATGTTTGTGAATGTTCTTACTGTAAGGATTAATTGCACTCACTGAATGCAACCCTTCCTGGTGTATACTTTTGAGCTCAAGAACTGGAATAATACCAGCAGGGAATTTGAAGTGAGAATAGTTCTTTGTGAAAGACATTTCCTCTTTACAGGTTATCCTGAAAAGGGAACAAGTGTTGGGTCAGGGATGTTAAGTTACTGTGTGTCTTATTAGGTGTTGAGACGTAAAATAAAAAAAAAGCAAAATACATAATTGCTAAATTGTGTGTTCACCTTGAAGAAAGGAATCATGAATGTAGAGATTTGTTCCTTATGATGTATCCCTGACTTCTGGTGACAGACTACAAGGCGCGGCTGGTGTTCTTCAGCGTGGTCCTGGACAAACCTTTCAGTGATATCCGGCATCAGTGGAGTGACACAGCCTTCAAACTTGGAGAAAGAATGGGCGAGCTGGTAGGTGAAACTTTGGATTGATCAAAGAATGTGCTAAACTGTGGAAGAAGAGAAAGAATGAGTGATCCGAGAAGGATTTAGTGAAGTGCTTGTTTGAGAACAGAACAAGCAATGTTTTAAGTGTGTTAGGGCAGTGAAATTGAAAGAAGTTTGGATGGACTGGTGGGTGTGGAAAAAACTTAAAAAGATGTGTGGTCTTAGGCGATGAAGCTTTTTCAAGGTGATGTGATTTAAATCCCAGAAGATGACACGAAATGTCTAGTAAATAATCATGGTTCTTTATTACAGGCTGCAGAAGAGTTTGGAGATTTGGGCTATCTTTATGGAAAACTAGATCAGATCAGGTAAGTTTTGGTTCCTTATGGAGAATGTTTAAGTTGCATACAATAGATTTGATTTTGTTGATTAGGCAACAGAGTAACAATGCCTAGGTTACAAGGCTGTGTTCTTTGTTTTCTAAGGTTTAACTGCTTAGAACTGAATACAGGCGTACCCTATTTTAGTTTCCATGATATGGAATTTGCCAAAGATCTTGCTTCAAGCATATTTGGTTAGGCGTGGGCTGTTCTGTGGAGACCAGTGTACTTTAAAGTTGTCTTTTCTTATGTCTGTGAGCCATTAAAAATATTGCATAAATATTGTAGTCGAAATTGCAGTGTTCACGTTTACAGCTTTTCACTTTGTGACTTTTTGCAGTGACCATTATGATAAAAACAGCGGGGAGACCTACATCATGGTGAATTCTACAGGCGTATTTAAGAATTCTGTGAACAAGACTATGCTTGAAACCATAGCGCTAAGAATGCTAAGGGCTCATATCTCCTGGGATGGCCAGTTTGGAGAGTTCCAGTTCAGAGGCGGACTTGGCCTTTTCCGGACAGCAGAGGATCGTTGGAATGGAGTGCAAGGTGAGTGTTGTGGCAGATTACTACTCAAATCAACTTCTTATGTGAATACAGCCAGACTGTTGTTTTATACAATAATGGAGCACTTGATTGTTTTGAACAGTAATACAACAAGGAGTGACAGTGAACCAGCTGACATAAAATAGGGCTAAACTCCATCTGACTGATTTTTTCCCATGGAGAGTGTTTTCTTTTTTGGCGTAATTCTTGAAACGTTCCTGTGTCTTAGACAGAACTATGAATAAGATCAATGTTGTTGAAGTGTTCAGGCTCTTTACAAAATTTTTGTTCTCAGCTGTCAGTTGGTGTGATGTCGTGGAGAGTGTGGGCGTGCCACATCATTGTGGGAAGGAGTTCAACTGTACAGAGAAGACCGTGTTCAGGAATTGTAGCGGAGGTTTGTGCTTTTCCCTTGTAGGTAGCCATGTTGCAAATGGTGGTGGAAGACTGACAGCAATAAGTGTTATTTAGAAAAGTGTCTCTCCAGCTTATCTGCACTATGCTATGTTTTCATTGGGGATCAAAGCCAAGATATCTAAGATGGGCAGTACAACGAAATCAGACAAAACCAGAGTATGTTAGTGTGGAAAGGAGATACAGCTGATTATTTCATATTATGCAATGTTTCTTAAACCTGAGGGTTTTCTTTTGGGATAGAATAAGTTGCCAGGCCATTTTGTCTTATGTTTGACTGGTTGTAAATGTTTGACAGAGCCTTCCACACAGAAAAAATGATATAGGTGATTGGATCCTGTGAGTGAGAGAGTAAAAAATGTTCAAGTATTGACTCTGTGTGCTCATTTTTTTCTTGCATTAATCTTGTTTGTGCATGAGATGTCCGAGAACTTTCATCTACTTTAATGATGTATGTTTTATTTTTTCTCTTTCTCATCAGCTTGGAAAACCTCATGTGAGTATTGGGAGCTGACGTTGCAAACTTGTTTGTCTTTAGCTGTGTTGTGTCTGTGCTACAACTGAAAGACAAAAAAAAGCAGGATATGTTCATTTGATGATATGTTGTATATTCAGTTACAATATTTCTCAAGGTGTTCAAAATCATTTGTGATACACAAAATCTAATCTCTATTTTGTTAATGTTATACTGCTATGGATGACAAAGAAGAATTATAAAAAATTGACGTTTCTGATATCATAATTTATTGCTGCTTGTGGATTTCTCGACATGACCGGTATTTTCCACCTTTGTTTCACAGTGTTCCTGAGGTTTGAGATAGACAAAGACTTTGATGCCAGTGACAGCTGGGCTGTGGAGGTGGCTGTGAGAGCCAACATTTCGGAGAATCTTGAATCATTAAACTCGGAGTACAATGTTGCGGTCACCCATGTTCTGTAAGTCTGTGAAGATAGACTAATCCAAAAGTCTTAGGGAATGAGACGGAGAGACCTGGATTGTATCTCACTTTTGTGTGTTTAATCCCTTCAATGTCGCAGGTAAATAGGCCCCTGTGCTTGGGGAAATCCCATTAATCAAGGTGGATCTGGGTGACCCCACTCTACCTCCCATAACTTTTTTATTATGAATATTACCTCATGAATTTTTGCATGTACATTTTACATTGCACCACATTTCTATTGATATTATTTCAAGGGGATTTCATTGAGAGATGGATGGAGAAAATTTGGAGTTAGTAACACAATTCCAAAAACTACACCACCAAACAACATACAGCAACACTCATTCGAGTAATGATAAACTGAGATCCAAAAAAGGGGAATACATGTTGTGTGAGTGTCTGCAGGTACAGAGGAAGTGACAAGAGGCTTTTCCTACCTTATACAACACTTGTACAGTCCATATAGGCCTATGCATGTAAGCCCATTTGTGTTTACTGCCAACAAATCTTTTTATGCGGCAGATGTGTTCGATCTAGGCCTAGATTTAATCTTCTCTTTGAGCTAAAATCTGAATCTTTCACTTTCAAATGGGGGGAAAATGGAAAACATAAAGGGAAGGTACCTCAATAATAATTACAAGATTTTAGGAGTAACTTGCCTTATAATTGGTATCAAAACAACCTCTGTCATAGTCCTTTAAATTCAACGGTCCATAGGCACAGCGCTACTCGGTTCAAGCCCTTAAATTCTATGGGCACGACAGCGATAAGAGGTTAATGGGAGCATGGTAAAAATTAAGAAACCTGAATTACAGAGGGCAGTATGGAAAGACAGATAGCAAGAAAAAGTGCAAGAAGAATTTTGGAGCAGGAGATGAGGGACTGGTTGAGAAGAGGGAGTAGATTGGAACACATAATATTCACAGCATATTCAGAACTTAAGAGACTCTCTGAGATTCTAGCCAGGAGTTTGTTTTGTTGTTTAACTTTATTAAATGACCTATTTTGTTCCTTTCTTGTAACAATGATGTAAGAAAGGTAAGAAAAAAGTGGGCCAGGTAGTATCAAGGTGCTGCGTGCAGGTGTGAAGGTGTGCTGGGTGTATATTTTGCTGTTTGACATTTTGTGAAAATTAATAAGAGTTGTTGGGAAAAAAGTAGCCTGCTTGTGTTTTGCTGTTCATATTTTCCAAATATTGAACCAGAAAATTGTTGTGCATGACACACATTATGTTTGTGATTGGCCTCCTACAGACCAGGGAGCACTGTGGTCATCATTCGGGTGGATGCAGATGTTGACTGGGTGCAGTATCTGCTAGAGAGATACATCTACAAGTCGTTTCTGGAGCAGCCAGGTTCTATCTCAGTGAATGACACAGTGTACTTGGTTATGTCTGTGAAGATGTATGAAGATGAAAATGATGCTGTGATGGACCAGGGAGCATTGAGTAAGTACATAGTTTACTGATGAGGCTGGAAAGAAATGAGCTTGTTGTGAGCATAGTTTGGAGGAGGGAGGTGGTCCTCTTATGGTCTAGAGGTGTGGAATTCACCTCTCGGTCAATAAAAAACAAACCAGGTACTATTCCTGTCAAAGACAAACAAGTTTTCATCTCTAAAATGTTTCCCTTTGCTTTCCTCTCGTATTCTCTAGTCCTGTTACTTCATCTGCTCCATCAGCACTTTCTCTCCCCACCCCCCTCCCCCAAACTGGCTCATGCCTCCTCTTTGCTTTTCTTCCCATTACTCCTGACTCTTTCTACAGTTAACCATGGCTCCTTACTGCTGTCTTTCAGCCACACCTCTGATCTTAGGGCATGTAAGAAGATCTAATGCCTTGCCTTTCTGGATAAGGACAAAAAACTCTGGAGGTCTTGTGTTCAAGTTAAGCACATTAAAGATCCCTTATAGATTGATAAGAGTAGGAGGCTACACTCGCCATGCAGGCAACATTCACAATGAACTCTGACCAAAACTGAAGAACCTATAGTCGGAATAAGATAAATATTGAGAATCTTCGGAATGGGAATGTGGCTGCCTGACTTTATGAAGTAGGAACAAGGGAGCATATTCTCAAAATCAGTTACATTGCAGGTTGAAGAATCAACAGTCAGCCACCCTTGAGATCTAGCAGGTGAACACAAAAAAGAAAGAAGAAGAGCTTAGTTTCGTTTCAATCCAGACTACATTGAAGCCAAATATTGTAGAATTGACCGAGATGAAACTCTTGGGTAGATTGAGAGTGAGATTTTGTCCTACTGTGTATCCTCAGCCGACAGAGTAAGTAGTTTGACTTGTAGTGCCTTTTTCTGTGCTAGGCAGTCAGTTGTGCTTTCTATTAGACAACAGTGACTATTTTCACAGGTAAAAGACAGACTTCATATTGTCGTTTTATAAATTACATTGATAAATTTGTGACTTGCCTTTGTTGATATTTGTGTGAGTAACAAATGAAAAAGTTGGCTATGTATGAAGCAGAGAGTGACTGTCAATGCCCTTTCCATTCCAGAACTGCTCAGTGTTTGCTACATGGGTAACATATGTCCAGAAGGTTCCAGGTGTGTGGCTACTGACTCTCATCCAAAATGTGAAGGTAAGAGCAGAGCAGTGGCGGTGGGTAGTGAAGGGCTCATGGGCTTGAGCCCCCCCCCCTCCCCATCCCCCAACTCTATCCCAAAGCAAATGTAAATAATGAAATAAGCAATTGAAACTGTTATGATTGCACGCAATGAACACAGAGCTATCAACTTGGTGGCTTGCTCGTTTATCCAATCACTGTTGCCGCCGCTTACAACTATAGTAACCTTACAGTCAATCAAATGTCTTTAGGGCTCAGCAAAGGATGAGCCTGTTCCCACGGACCCTCATTAATGATATTTTTCTTGTAAAAAGGTTGAAGACTTTGAAAAAAAAATATCACTGCAAAGAGGGCTCATGCTGTCCTAGCCCTGACAATGGGGTGAAATTTTACGACACACTTTTCCCCAGTAACACAGTCACCTACGCTCCCATTGGACCTTTGTTAGGTGCAGTCTACTTTCCTCTACTACAAGGCCTAATCCAGTTCGTGGAGTGATGTGTATGCATGTTTGTGTGTTTGCCGCTGAGATTTAACTGTTATTAATTACATCAAGCCACTTTTGAGGCAACTTTTTCATCAGATGAAAATTAATTAGAGAAGTTTGGTGGGGAAATAGTTTCGTCCCCAGCATCAGGAAGAATTTAACGTAGAACAAAGAGAAGGAAGACAGAGGTGATTCTTCTCATTTGAATGGTTCTCAAAATGCCATGGCTCACCGTGAGTATTGAAAAATCACTGTTGTTTTGTTCTTATTGCTTTTTGTTTGGTGGTAAAGAAGTGAAAGCAGCCTAAGCCCCACCTAAATTTTGGTCCACCCACTGCCACTGGAGCAGAGGAATAGAAAAAAGTAAACCTGATGCCTTTTTTATCCATTGATCCGTTTATCCCTGGATCCATGTCAGCTTGTATCTACAAGGTGCTGCTGTCTGAACATGCAATCAGTATGTCTTTGTGATCATTTTATGTCCCCTTACTCAAATCATGTCATTTCCCCTCCATTTGCTAATTTTCAGATCTTGTCTTCTCTATCCTTTAAAATCCTTCCCATTGTAACAAATGGGATGTGTGGTGAAGAAATGATTGAAGAGAAAGGGCTTACTTCTCCCTCGATTTGTCAGATGAAAGAAAGTCACTTTGTGCCCCACTATTTACAAAACATAGGTTTTTGCAAGCTGCTGCCCCCCCCCCCCTCCTTTTTTTTCTCCAAAATAATTCCTAAAAAGCTAAACGGCAGCAAAAAGATGACAATACTAGGAGGACGGTGTGTGGGCAACCACAAAAACAAACATGAAAAGTGAAATGTGTGTAGATGTGCAATAATTGTTGATGAAAGCCATGACTTTGCTAAATGCCTGTTTCGTCAGTGCCATGTGACTATGGAGAGTTCCGTGAGAGGGATGCAGGCTGTGAGATGTGTCCTAACGGAACCACGACACTGGTCCAAGAAGCAATATCCCGACACATGTGTGTCCGTGAGTAGGCCTACTTATCCGTGTACACTTGTGGTTTTGTTGTTGAAGTGGAAAGTTCTACTGGATTCAGAATCAGCTGCCAGATACATGTAAATCTGTTTATGTTTCTATGTGCTCCCGTCTCTCAGTTTGGTTTTTGCCTGGCAGTATGAGAAAATAGTACTAATGTAAAGTTGCTCCTGACATAGAAAGCCAGATCAACATGCTATTTTTGCAGGACTGGATGGAATAATACGTGCTGTTAGGAAGAAGAGGCATGGATAAATTCAGATTGTTTTCATGTCATATGTCCTCAGGCAACTGTTCATTGGGCCAGGTGTTGAGTCTGGAAACTTTAGAGTGTCAAGACTGCCCAGATGGTTTCTACCCAGACTCTGATCCTCCTGTGTGCTATGTCAACTCCAGTAAGTTCCAAGGCAGTCAATGTTTCCTGAGACTGAGAAATAGACAAAGTAGCCATGACAGTTGTGTAGAACCTGTGTTCCTGTCTTTGGGATTGCATGGATAGCATTCCTCCCCATAGTGCAAGTGTAGAGCTGGCTTTATTTATTCCTTTTACTTTAATAGTACAATACAATTCCTTATCAACATTAAACCCTTTGCCTGATAAAGGAAAGTGGTTTTCTTTGTTTCTGAAATATGCTTTTGACAAAGTATTAGTTTGGATGGGTGGATGATGATGATGAAACCTTTGGATGAACTGACTTGATGGCTGAATGCTTTTCTTGCTCTGACAGCGCTACCTGTTGAAAATCGCAGGATGGACATCCACATGACAGTAACACTTGTGATCAACAGATGTGATGAAGAAAACACTTACTTCAGCAAAGCCAATATCACTCATGGGCTCAAGGACATTGCCAGAGGAATGATCGCTGCAAGATTTTACAAGTACCAGGATTTGTCAAGAACTATATACCTGTGAGTTTGCTGGGGGGTTTTTTATGCGAAGATATTCTTTTTGTCTTTTTTTATTTTGGCAAGTTGAACGGGAGGAGCGACCTTCTTGGTCCATTTCCTATGCTTGTTGCCTGAGATCAAATCTAAGTAGGCCTACAAACATAAGTTAGGCATACAAAAATCTCTTGATACGTGCTTTTAAGTTTGCATAGCTACAGCGGTTACTAGATAAATGACCGCCATCTTGAAAATAACCAATGAATTTCAATTCCCTTAGGCTTTCTTATTTATGACCAAATTTGACCAAATTTGGGGAGTGTATACCTGAACCAGTCCCTATCAATGTAACAGCAAGTTCTTTTCAATAAATGTAAAAAAAAAAAGTTGAGAATTTCAAATTTATGTAAACCTTTTCTAAGTTTAGGTTGTGTAATCGTTTGCCAATGATGGAAAAGCGTTATTTTTTACATAAGTATCTCTCTGTTACATATATGGCAGCCTTGTTTCATGAAAGTTTCATGTCAAAAGGATAAAAATTAAGGAAGGAGTAGGGGAAAACTAAAAAAAAACAACATTTTGACAAAAACAACAGTTATTATGAAAATTAATCATATTTTAACCCTCTGTCATGTTTTTAAAGGCAATATACAACGAGAATAAAGATTTTCTGAATTGTCTCCTTGCTAATTTTTTACAAAGAACTGGTTGATCTTAAAAAATCAGCCAACATCTCAATTTGCATAGCTTGCCACAAAATCGGCCAAACTGAGGGTCATTACCTCCCGTTAATGTGGTGAGTTAACTCATTCGCTACGCCGAGCCGTGGGCAGCGGCGCTGTGAAAGTGATTTCCATACGCCAAGCCACCCTCGTGAGCTCGAGAGCGGATCTATAATTCTAGCTTAGATTTTATTCCAATCCACATATCTATGTTAAAATAAAGGTTACAATATAACATTGACTTCCGGATCAAGAATTTTCACCGAATATCGGAAATTTTGATTCAGTTTTGAATCACAATTTCGAAGTTTATGCGACTTTGTTTTATCGCAATCCCCAAATTATAGCCCAGACACCAGTCCTAGTACTTTTACACAACAAAATGTATCATTGTTTTTCTCCCTAAAGAAATGTAGGACTCTTCTTTAGAAAAGTGATACTATTGGACACAAATTGCCTGTGGTCTGTTATTGAGAAATCAATATTTTTCAGTGCTAGTTCTTGGTCAAGATCTAAATTGGTTTGTGAATGCATCTTGTCCTTTTTTCAAGATTTAAAAACATTTATTTTTCAATATATCAGACGTTATGATCCAAATGTACGAATTTTATGGAACGTACATAAACACTGCAAATTTTTCAATATTTTCCAATTCTATATTCATTTATGGTTATTTTGATGTATCTTTTGACAAGGTGCAAACATATTTTTTGAGTTTCACCAAAGAATATTGATTTTTTTAATTTTCAAATTTTATCTGCATCCAAGTAAAATTGTTTTGCATATTCTCCTCTTACTGGAACCAAAGTTGAGAAATACAAATACACAAATAAACATTACAGATGTATTCAACAAACCATACTGAAAATTTTGGAACATAATATGTTGATATTTATTGGAATTTGTGGTCCCAAAGCCTGGGAGCAAAGAAAATGCCCAGAAGACTGGCAGAAAGCCATAGTGGTACCATTATGTAAAAAAAAAAAGGCAACAAATGCGACTGCACAAAATACAGAGGCATTTCCTTGATAAGCCACTCAGGGAAAATATGTGCAAACATACTAGAGCAGTGCATAAGACCTATTTTAGAGAGAAATCTGAGCAAAGCTCAGTTTGGATTTCGAAAGGGAAGAGGATGCACGGATGCTGTATTCGTGTTACGACAGATATGCGAGAAAACAATCGAACACAACAAAGAATCCAACATCGTCTTTATAAACCAGGAGAAGGCTTTTGACAGAGTGAACCATGCAAAACTCTGGAAGACACTCGAAAAGTATGGCGTCAGAGGACAAATGTTAGATAATATCAGAGCTCTATATACCAACAGCAGAAGCTCACTAAGAACAAAGGAAGGCAATACAGACTGGTTCAAAGTAAGATCTGGAGTACGACAGGGATGCATTCATCTCCCCTCATGTTTATAATATATAATACACTTAGCGTCAATAAAAACAAGACACATTTTAATTGCGTGTTTCATGAAAAGTCGAAAAATTTGAGCTGAAATTTTCTACACATGATTGTGAACACTTGACGCTCCTGATCAGCCTGCATTTATGATCAGGAGCCCAGTTAATAAAGCTCAGGTCTTGTTTTGTTAAAAACCGTGTTTTGTCATTTTTCTCGAACGTTTATGTTTTTTAAAATTTTATTTTATGGGTTTAACACATCTTTTATCTGTAGCCGAGAATAAAACGCTAAAAGTTTCATTTCAAAACTTCTAAATCTAAAGATACAGCATGCCGCGTTTAACGAACGAAGAACGCAATCAGTCTGTTGGTATGCTGAGGGCCAATACGCCAGTAGCGAATGTTGCAAGGACCTTCAATGTGACAAGAGACACGATATATCGACTAATGAATCGTTTGCAGACGTCTGGATCCGTGCAGGATGGTCCCTTGACAGGTCGTCCTAGAGCTACCACACCAGCCCATGACTAGTACATTCGGGTCTTGCACCTACGAGATCGCTTCCGGCCTGCTACCAAGACAGTCAGGGAGTTGACGGGACGGAGAACCATATGTGCCCCGACTGTGCGCCGACGCCTCAGAGCTCAAGGTCTCATTCCTAGACGTATCCGCCTGCTCCCGAGGCACCGCCGAGTCAGACTCAACTGGGCCCGCCTGCACCGACGATGGATTTTGAGACAGTGGGATAATGTGATGTTCACAGATGAGTGTCGTTTCCAACTGCAAAGCAATGATGGAAGGCAGCATGTCTACAGAAGGATTAATGAACGTTTCTCTAACAGTTGTGTGAGTTCAGTTGGAGATAGGCATTGTGTCATGGCCTGGGGTGGGATAACCAGCACCGGCCGCACATACCTCGTTTTCATCAACGGGAACCTCACCGCCAGACGCTACATTGATGAAATCATTCGCCCGCACGTCCTCCCGTTCTTGGCTCGCAATGGAAACACCATATTCCAACAGGACAATGCTCCAGCTCACCGTGCCCCCCTAACCACAAACTTTTTTATCATCAACAATGTGAATGTTCTCAATCCATGGCCGGCTTTGAGTCCGGATCTGAACCCCATCGAACATCTTTGGGATATGATGAAAAGGCAGCTCAGAGCCCTTAGACCTCAGCCGGTCACCTTGGATCAGCTACGTACTGCATTTACAAACATATGGAACAACATTCCACAGCATTCCATACAAAGACTTGTGCGAACCATGCGGCAGAGGTGCACCGAAGTCGCCAATGCCCATGGTGGCTATACGCGGTATTAACTGTGACTTTTCATTTTAGGGTATACAATTAAAAGATCAAATTTCAGGTAATAAAGTTCATTTTAAAAAATTGTTTTTTGTGTAATTGATTTGTAAAATGTTCAAACCTTCCTTATAGAGAGATTGTTTCTGGTTAAAATCAGTCTTTCAATACAAAAAACACTAAAAAAGGGGTGTCTGGTTTTTTTAAACGCCAAGTATATATACTGAAAGCTATTAAAAATGCAACATTTCAAAAAGTTATTAAAAAGCCAAATATGCTCTGATGGTCACAATTTTTGGAGACACAAGTGAGTAGTTGTAAGTCCACACACCCATGCACGATTTTTGCTTTTTCCATGAGTACTTTTCATCACAATACACCAAACTATGCTTTAGTAAAATGTGTTCATTAGTTGCTATATTATAAAAAAATACAAAATTACCAGGTAGCTGACCCATAGCTCATTCCAAACAAAAGTCCTAACTTTTTAAAAATCTATTTTTTATATTTCTTTCATTACAAGACTCCTCAACTTAGCGAAGCTGATTGCAACTTTTGCTTCCGCCTTATTCATGGTGGAAAATCTGCCTAAGAAGCAGCGATATGGCTAAAATGCAGTGCTTGTATTGGTCTCGACTTATATAAAGATTTTAGCACTCTTGAAATGTCCAGGAGGGGTCAAGAATAGGACAGTCTCGAGTGACCGGCCATGATCAACTGAGGCAGATTTTGATGTCGCATCTGCGAAATCGTTTCGTTTCTCAAAAGTAGCAGCTCAAGGCATGCACGGAGTGCGGGAAAATGTTTATGTCATCAGTGTGAGGCGCGGAACAGTAAGTACAGGACTTAAATCAAGAACGCCTTATTAAAGACTGCAATTAACGAAGCCGCAACAACAGCGCCGTCTTCACGGTGCCAAACAGCACAAAGAAAAAATCAGAATCTCTCAGTCATCCAACACGACACTCCTGCCCTTGCACTGCCCATTTAGAAAACAACACAGATTCTGGAAGATCATAACATGAATGTCATGGACTGGCCAGTGTATGTACTCGACATGGCTCCAACAGCACATGTATGGGATGAACCGCAAAGTGTGTTCCGATTTGTGAAAATATAGCTATTGGAAGATTACGCTGCCGCGAAAGTGGGACAGAATTTCTCAACAAAACGTTGAAAATGTTATAAAATCCTTGCGAAGAAGTGTTTTGGTCTGTTTAGATGTTAATGATGGCCAAACAATTTGCTTGTAAAGTTACCTGGCGGTCCGATGCGTCGGGTCTGTCAGGGGGCCCCCGTCCAAGATAGGTGTTGCCTCGTCGTGGTCCTGAGTTCTACTGAATACCTCAGTGAGTCTCTCAGACGATGTCTCTATTTTTCGCGCCGGGCTCTTGACGTCATCCAAGGGCGTGCCACTCCCCTAATTATCTAGTTCCCACAGTAAAGATAAGAGTCATGTCCCTTGACATCACATTTACTAAGGGTACAAGATCTTTATTGAGCTTCGATTTGTGTTTTTCTGCAAATTTGTTTTAAGGGGGTACGCCGAGAGAATGTATCGAAATCATTTATGTATGTATCAAAATAGTTCACATTTGTTTGAAATTGAATGAACTTAAAAAAACAAACTTCTTTTGATTTATATTCATTTGATACAGACGTGGTCAGACTATGTGAACGAAGTGTTGCGTTTTTAATGGCGTTCAGTATATATGGACGCAAGACGCAAACCAAAGCCCAGAAAGCCTAAATAAATTTCTGTTGGCAGACGACCAATGTCTTATTCATCATGACCAACAAAGCATGTGAGAAATTCAACATGAAAATAAGCACATCGAAAACAGAAGTTATGAAAGTGAGCCAAAACCATAGTCCCCTGAACATCCATGTCAATAGTAAACAACTGAAACAGGTGAAGAAGTTAAAATATCTTGGCAGCACTTTTGTTGAAAACGGGTCCAAAGACAGAGAAATAGAAATGCAAACACAAAAAGCCAACGCTGTCACCTACCAGCTCGCACCCCTCCTGTCTCATCCAAACATCTCCATGGACACAAAGAGACAGCTTATCACCTCAATATTCATACCAACATTATGTTATCAGTGCCAGACCTGGACAGAGGATAAAGAAGTAAAGTAAAAGTAAGTAAAGACATGTGAACTGCGCGCTAGTCACCATCTCATGTCACCCCCCAGAAAAAAAATTGTCCACAAGCCGAAAATAATACGTAGCGAATGAGTTAAAAGTAGGTGTGTACGACATCGTACAGCTTCATGTATTGTTTTTGTCATTGGTTGTAGACAGAAGCTAGTGTGCATACAGAATTAATGTATTTTCCTTCTGTGCACTATTCTCTTTTTCAGAAATGAATAAATTTCTTCGTATCAATTGAAGTTTTCGGGTCTCAAAGCAATATGCATTAGACTTCAAGTATGTGATGAATGCTTTGCTATTTTTGCTCCTTCTAGAGAAACACTTTTCTCCATTTTGTTTAAACTTAAAATGAGTAAGAGGACAAGGTTTGAAGAAGATTAATTATTCATTGTTAGTTGAAGAGCAGCGTGGTAAAATGTGTCTGTGGCAGTGTTCTTAGTGTCCTTACTAAGAAAGTTATTTGTACAATATGATTCCCCACAGTGGTCTGTGTGAGCCAGAGTGTGTGAACATTCTCTCTGGCCCTCTGAATGAGAAGGAAGTGTGTGTCCCAGACTGTGGAGGGACTACCCCCTGTGACCGTTTCCTGAGCAAAGTCAGTGTACAAGTCTACAATGCCTGGTGAGAAGTGAACCTTTGGTCTTGCAGCTCTCAAGTGACTGGGTAGAAAAAGACTGTGTCTTGTTGCTTTGAGGTGGTTTTTGCATCCACTGATATTTTATTAATTTTTATTGAGATAACTGCTGTAAACAAAGACTTTTTCTGTTACCGTGATGTGCTGTTGTGAAAATAATTTCTTTTTCCTTTTTCCATGATGTGATTTTATTGTAATGTTATGTTTTCCTGCTACCTTGAGACGGTTTTGCTGTGTACCAATAATTTTGTCTTTGTTGCCAGGAAGCGGTGTTGCAGTGGACAGACATTGTTTGTATTGGTATGTGGAGTGTAAAAGTGTGGGGTTTTTCTTACCCGCAGGGAGCTGGCACAGTCACAGACAGCATCAAGACATAACCGTAGCAGTGTTGATGTTCTACTGGAACACTTTTATGACCTGACTCCACTTTACGAAATTTCCTACTCTGAGCCAGAATTTGTAAGTAAAATAGCTGTGATGTGCAGCTAGCTTTCATGTTATTGTATATATAAACTATAAGGTATGACATAAAGTTTTCTATAAATGTTGGAGATGTTAAGGTAAGTACGAAAGATAATAAGAAACATTAATGAAAATACTACTAGATGGAAATAGTTAGGCCTAATGAGAACTGTAATTTTTAAGTGAAGTGCCCTTTGGAAGAATGGCTCTTTTAACTCATTCGCTACGCCGAGCAGTGGGGGGCAGCGCGGCTAAATATCCGTCAGTACGCTAAGCCGCCTCCGGCGGCGCGAGAACCGATCTTCAATTATAGCTTAGATTCTATTCCAATCCACATATCCATGATAAAATAAAGGTCATAATATAATGTTAACTTCCGGGTCAAGCATCTCCACTGAAAATCTGAAATTTAGATTCAGTTTTGAAACGCGATTTCGTAGTTTATTCGACTGTTTTATCGCGGTGACAAAATTATAGCTTTTTGTAATTTTACACAACAAAATCTATCATTATTTTGCCCACTAAATAAGTGTAGGACTCTTTTTTTATAATATTGATACGATTGGACTCATATTGCCAATGCACTGTTATTGAGAAATCAATATTTTTGAGTGCTAGATCTAGATCTAGATCTAAATAGTCAAAATATTTTTTTCTCCCCAAAATCACTACTTTTTGATGAAATTACTTAAAAAAGTGCCACTCAAGACATGTATAGGTTTATTCCACATGCAATTCTGAATAATTCCATATAAGATACGAGAGGATTTTTTTTCTGTTTGTGATCGTTTTTCAAACTTCTAAAATTTTTTATTTTTTTTTCAATATCGGATGTTATGTTCAAAATGTACAAATATTATGGAATGTAGGTAAATAATTGCAAACTTTTCAATATTTTCCAGTTCTATTTTGATTTATGGTTATTTTGATGTATCATTTGACTAGGTGCAAACATATTTTTTGAGTTTCACCAAAGATTATAAATTTTTTATTTTCAAATTTTATCCGCATCCAATCAAAACTGTGTTGCCTAATCGTCTCTTACAGGAACCAAAGTTGAAAAATACATAAATAAACATTACAGATGTATTCTACAAGCCATACTGAAAATATTGGTATATAATACGTTGATATTTATTTGAATTTGTTGCCCCAAAGACCTTTTAACTGCCCACTAGTCATCATCTCTTTCGCTCTCCCCCCCAAAAAAGTTCGTCCACAAGCCGAAAATAATACGTAGCGAATGAGTTAAGACTCAGTTGGATGTTTTGAACATTGGGTGTGATGTTGCTTGACAGATGGAGAATATATGTGAGGCAGCGTCGGGGTGAAATTAGGCACTCGTCAAAATAATCAAAGTGAAGAAACTGGCATTTTTCTGCCGGTTTGTGAATTTTTATTAAATTTTTGTTTTGTGGCTCAAAACCTTTCATGCCCATTAACTCATTCGCTACGCCGAGCTGTGGGCAGCGGCACGAAGTGTCTTCCGTACGCCAAGCCGACCACGACGGCTCAGGAACCGATCTATAATTCTAGCTTAAATTTTATTCCAATCCACATATCCTTGTTAAAATAATGGTTATAATATAACATTGATTTCCCGGTCAAGCGTTTCCACCAAAAATCAGAAGTTTAGATTCAGTTTTGAATCGCCATTTCGAAGTTTATGCGACTTTATTTTATCGCTCTGCCGAAATTATAGCTCAGGCACCAGTCTTATAGTACTTTAATACAACAAAATGTATCATTATTTTGCTCACTAAAGAAATGTAGGACTCCTCTTTTGAATATTGATACTATTGGACTCAAATTGCCAGTGATCTGTTATTGAGAAATCAAAATTTTTAAGTGCTAGATGTAGGTCTAGATCTAAATTGTCCCAAAAAAATGTTTCTCCCCGAAATCACTATTTTTGGGTGAAATTACACTGAAAGTAACTAAGACATGTATAAGTTTATTCCAAATGCAATTTTGAATAATTTCATATAAGATACGAGTGCTTTTTTCTGTTTGTGAATGCATTTTGTCATTTTTTCAAGATTATAAAATTTTTAATATCGGATGTTATGATCCAAATGTACACATTTTATGGAATGTATTTAAATAACTGCAATTTTTTCAATATTTTCCTCTTCTATTTTCATTTATGGATATTTTGAAGTATCTTTTTACTAGGTGCAATCATATTTTTTTAGTTTCACCAAAGATTATTAACTTGATTAATTTTATGGTTATATTTTAAAATTTTATCGGCATATGATTTTATAAGAATGGATGAAATGTATAACACCACACGTATAAAAAAGATAAAAAGCATTATAAACGACCCGTCACACCCCTTTTCCACACAAATTGTAAGATCACGCAGCGGCAGATATGTACCTCCAAAAATAAAGAAAGAAAGATATAAAAGAAGTTTTTTACCATCTAGCATAAGGCTTTTGTCAGAATGAGCATAGATGTGTGTTGCTCTTAGAGTATGTATCTGTATATAACTCCAAAGGTCTAGTATTTAAATTCCTGCATGTGGTTGAATGATGCATTTGATATAAATGTACATTTTGTCAGCTTTACTTCTCCTTTCATATTGAATTTTAATGAGAGTAATATATATGATTTAAATTTTTTAATGTAGGCCTATACCTGCATGTGTTTTTAGGGTCCTGTACAGCCAAGGAACATTTCCCTCTGGGATAATAAAGTACTATCTTATCTTATCTTAAATTGTGTTGTATAATCACCTCATACAGGAACCAAAGTTGAAAGATACACAAATAAACATTACAGATGTATTCTACAAACCATAGGCCTACTGAAAATTTTGGTATATAATATATTGATATTTATTTGAATTTGTGGCCCCAAAGACGTGTGAACTGTCAGTCACCATGGCATCTCATTTCACTCTACCGAAAAAAAATTCGTCCACAAGCCGAAAATAATATGTAGCGAATAAGTTAAAGAACACAATATTTCTGTGTAGATTTTACTGAAAAACCATGATTAAAGGCACCAAAAAAAAATTAAGTTTCCACGGACTCTCAAGCTAAGGAAATAACTCATCCCACTAATTTTACCTCTGAAACCAGGTGAGCTCCACAATATTTCGACTTCTATTTAAGATAAATGGATAATGTTTTCATCCTAAGACAGACAAATGAACAATAAGCTTTAACTCACTCGCTACATATTATTTTCGGCTTGTGGACGAATTTTTTTCGGGAAGGCGAAATGAGATGATGACTAGTACGCAGTTCAAAGGTCTTTAGGGCCACAAATTCAAATAAATATTAACATATTATACACCGAATTTTTCAGTATGATTTGTAGAATACATGTATAATGTTTATTTGTGTATTTTTCAACTTTGGTTCCTGTAGGAGGCGATAATGCAACACAATTTTGCTTGGATGCGGATAAAATTTGAAATTAAAAAATCAACCGTCTTCGGTGAAACTAAAAAAATATGTTTGCACCGAGACAAATGATACATCAAAATAACCATAAATGAACATTGAACTGGGAAATATTGAACAATTTGTAGTTATTTATATACATTCCATAACATTTGCACATTTGGATCGTGATATCCGACATTGAAAAAAAAACAACAAAAATTTTATAATCTTGAAAAATGAACAAGATGCATTCACAAACAGAAAAAGGCACTCGTATCATATATGGAATTATTCAGAATTACATTTGGAATAAACCTACACATGTCTTGAGTGGTACTTTTTGTGTAATTTCACAAAAAATAGTGATTTTTGGGAGAAAAAAATAATTTGACAATTTAGATCGAGATCTAGATCTAGCACTGAAAAATATTGATTTCTCAATAACAGAGCCATGGCAATTTGAGCCCAATTGTATCAATATTCTAAAGAAGAGTCCTACATTTCCTAAGTGTGCAAAATAATGATATATTTTATTGTGTAAAAGTAGTAAGACTGGTGTCTGGGCTATAATTTGAGCACCGCGATAAAACAAAGTCGCATAAACTTCGAAATTGTGTTTCAAAACTGAATCAAAACTTCCGATTTTCTGTGGAAACGCTTGACCCGGAAATCAACATTATATTATGACCTTTATTTTAACATGGATATGTGAATATTGGAATAGAATCTAAGCTAAAATTGAACCTCGGTTCTCAAGCCGTCGGGGACGGCTTAGCGCACTGACGGCACTTTAGCCGCGCCGCCCCCCCCCACGGCTCGGCGTAGCGAATGAGTTAAGATGATACCAACAACCCTACATGCCTTAAAAATTGACGAGAGCCTGATTCGAGGCACTCGTCAAAATAATGAAATTGAAGAAACTGACATTTGAGCAATTTTCATAGGATTTTATACTTTTTGCTCAGCACCTTTTATATCCATGTAAAAACATATTCCTGCATCCATTTTACTGAAAAAAGTTGATTAAAGACAAAAAAAATTGTACATTTGCAGTTTCCATGGACACTCGAGCTTTGGAAATCACCAAAGTTTTGGTAGCTATTTTCTCGCTAATTTTACTTCGGACAACAGGCGACCACCCACTTCCCTTAAGTGCAAATACCTCAACCTCTGTTCAAGACAGAAGAGTATTTTAAAAAAATCAAATGCAGAGCAAATAGACAGGTTTTAAGATAATACCAATAACTCCCTCTGCTAAAAAACTGACGAGCGTCTGATTCGGTAACGACGCTGTGGAATCAGGCGCTGGTCAATTTTTGGGCACAGAATGAAGTTACTGTTATCACTTTAACTCTTTACTGTCTATTACTGATTTCCCTATTTCGCCGTAATTTATTTCTGAAATTACTCAGATGTTTGGAGTGACATTTTCTTAAAAAATGCATCCCACAAGCATAAAATTTTTTGTATCATTTTAAAGGTAGTGTACATTATAAATTTTATGGTGTTTTGTGGGTTTGTCCTCGTATTTTTGCATGTTATTAGGTGAGGAAGGGATCGCAAATTTGATCAAATAATTTTAAATTTTCATCAGAAACA